GAAAAAGGTTGATTGTCTCGAAGTAAACCGCCTTTGCGGCTTCATCACCAAACGCCATTTCAGGAAACAAGCAGGGTAGGTACTTTGCCGCCAACGGGCTGCTACGCGTCAATGGCTACACTTCCGAGTGACAGAGTTTGCAAGAGCGGAAATCCCTCTTAGAAGAGAAGGAATCCTCTTCTCACATGATTTTCTTTCCTTCAAGGACACATCACAAAGCTAGCTAGGTGAATGAGCCCTCGTGTGAGTGAGACCCGAAACTGTGTCATTTCCGAGGTTCAAGGAAGGCCGGCAACGCGGCTGTCGGTACGACCACACTATGAATGAACGCGACTAGCAAATGCCCGTCGTCTCGCTCTGCCGTTTCTGGACTCACTTCTCGGCTACCTGTGCTCCTTTACCGCATGATCGTGTAATCCTTGAATCAAGAGCGGTGTGGAAGCTCTTGTTTTCATACCTCTTTGCACAACACAGTCACTCAGCACTAGCGATTCCATTTTTACACTGCGCTACTCATGCTCCGCTACCGTAGAAAGTCGCATTAACTACATGCCAGCGATACTACACGGGCCCATAGTACGGTGAAATGCGACTGAACAGCATTAGGTATCTCTTACAAGGGCAGTGAGCTCTTCTCAATCTTTGACGTCTGCATCTTCCGAGCTCTTTTTTCCCCGACTGTCGGCGGTCTTTCCCATCTTGATGCGGACGGAGCTTCGCAGCTGCTCTAAATAGACACTCTCCAGATAAGCAACTTACAGATTGTAGAAACCGATTTCTCACCTTGCAATTGTCGTTCGTCTAGACCTGTATCCGTCTCTGTAGAAGTGTTTCAGCATCATTTCACGTTGTACTTCATCTAAACTCCATGTTTTATCATCGGTATTTTATAATACAGTTCGCTGCGAAATAAGGGGCGTGTCAGGTAGTATGAGTGTGCTACGCGCCAGACCACTTCTCTGCCAATTGTTGAAGTGGATACACGACAGAGTAGAAAACGAGGGATACAAACGACATGATACAGTCGTGTCACTCGCTCGTTTGAATAATTGGTGGAGAACGGGTTTGGCACCGCGCCAAACTCATCGCCAAAACGCCCCTTCGTGCACAGCTAACTAGACTATATGTAGAGCGTAGCATACCATCTGGAGCATTTTCGTCGATGAACTGAGCTATGCTATGCCACAATTGATTGGGCTTCGCATCGGCAAATTGTGGTTCCTTCGCAATGGCTTGGCACGACTGAGTATCGCTAGGTTTGCTCAACCGTTTGAATGCTACTGTGCAGAACTTCTTACCTGGTACACAATTCGCGTCACTTTATCTTTTGCATTCTTTAAAGGCTTGCATACATGTGGGAGAAGGACCGGATCCCCGATGAAGTCACATCCATTCTGCACCTAGAATATCACAGATCGAAAAACTGCTACAGAGGGATGAAGAATTTTCCATACTGCTATGCTGGTTGTGATGCCTTTCTTCCTGCACGCCGTACATCGGCATATCACTAGGCCTTGCTTTGTCTTACGCATATGTTCGAACGCATAACAAAGCTCCCCACCTGAATGATTGAGTATTGGGAAGCTTGTATCAACACACGCTGTCATGGGTGTTTAGTACACTCACGTGTTTAGTACACTCACCTGGAATGGGGTACTTAACAACAGGATGTACACCCCTTTGGCTGGCTTCGACCACACCTTGGAAGAGCTGTCCCGAAACGTTTATATGACACTGGCGACGGGAGCGAGGTTTTTCCTTGTCAGCTGAAGGGAATATAGAGATCCAACTCTCCCGCGTAGTTGCGTATCTGTTGTCATGTGCCTAATGAAACCGATTGGTGGAACATTAATTCAACATACGAACAAGGGAAGGATACCAACCATTAAGATGATATGTATACTCCTAGAAGCATCTTCGGACGCTGATATCAGATCTGACTTCCAAATCTGCTAAACGATTCTAGGAGAGAAGTTACGGACCTTTTTTGCTACTGTGCTTAACCATTGCGGTGGCGCCCCCTGCCCATACTTTGCGCTTGTGAACCCCTCGTGACGCGACCGCATCTGTGCTTCGATGGCGCACCAGGTAGGTGAATGGGCTCATGGTGGTGGGACGACGTTCTTGATGTTGGTGCTCCGTTATGAACCGGTATCCCATAAGTAACTCCTCAGTAGAAAAAGAAAGGGAAAAACTCTCGGAAACACCCTAAACACAGACCTCCCCTCAGCAGTCTTGGACGAGTGTGTCGGGCGTGAAGGACGCGCACTCCATAGCGATTGGAGCGCAAAGCTTGAGCCGTGGGACCGTTGCTGAGCTCCGGGCCATTCCTAGCCAGGCAACGCGATATTCGTGATTGGAG